GCTCCCGCCAAATGCAAGATGATGTTACAGGACTGGACTACGCTGGCTCCTAGTTTAGAAATAGGAAGTGAAGTGGTAGAGCACGTTGACCGCTTCACTTATTTGGGAAGTACCATCAGCCCCAACGGGCTGATCTCTGACGAAATCTCAGCACGAATACAAGGGGCTCGTTTCGCATTTGTTAGTTTACGCCGACTCTGGCGTAGACGAGATGTTCGACTATCGACCAAAGGGCGGGTGTACTGCTCATCAGTCCGCTCCGTCCTCCTTTATGGTTGTGAAACCTGGCCACTCAGAGTGGAAGACATGAAAAGACTAGCTGTCTTTGATCATAGGTGCCTGCGTTCTATATCCCGTGTAAAGTGGCATAATAAGGTGAGCAACATGGAGGTTAGGCGTAGAGTCCTAGGTAAACAGGGGAAATCAATCGACGAAGTTGTGAAGCTACATCGACTGAGATGGTTAGGACATGTGTTACGTATGCCAAGCCATCGCCTCCCTCGACGAGCAATGTTAGCGGATATAGGGTCAGGCTGGAAAAAAGCTAGCGGCGGTCAAACAAAAACTTGGCATCAGTCAATGAAATCCACAACAGTTGGTCTTAGCCACGTAGGAAGGTGTAGACTTCCAGGCTGGGGTCCTCGGGACGGCAAAAATCTATGGTTGGAAACAATTGGTGACATGGCTCAAAATCGTTCTCAGTGGCGCAGATGCATCCACTCCCTGTGACTTATGATCTCCAATGAAACTGATTTGTATTTCTTTATTACTCCTTTGTCTCACACCTCTGCTCACTGTTTCTATTTGCTTTTCTTGTACTTTCTTCTCTTGCTTCGCGTGCTACACGGAATGTGGCGACTTGAACTTCCGCACATTTGTGCAAAGTTCTATGTCGAAAACAGACAGACAGACATATTCCATTAAACCTAACATTTTATAGCTCTTTATGAATTTGATTCGACTTATTCTATTCCTATTCTCTGGAGGGTACGGTTATGCACCAAATAGAAAAAAGACATGAAATAAAGACAACTGGCTTGAAAATAATTGTATTAAAGCCAAAAGTGAACGCATGATAGTATAAAATATATTGGTTTCATTATACATTGCAGATGAACGTTGTCGGCCTAAGGATTAATTACTTCCCCATTCTGTTTTCTATATGAATGTGTTTATTAATGATATATTTCACTCACTTATTCTATTACACTTTAATGTTACACCACAGCACTTTAATTTTTCTAAAACAGCTTCCAATTCCTTGTAAACGTTGTACTTACCTCAATATTGGTTGATTATCGTATGCCTACAACCACGGGATGAAAACGAAACGAAGTCGATTTTCCCGCGAAACCTGGAGGACAATTGTACAATTCAATAACTATACAGCCTAGTTCAGACAATGTGTATTTATATATATATCAAATATTTAACTGTTGAAACATTATTAACTTGTAGACAATTTAAGATTTGACATTATATCATCCTTGATCGTGCCTGTAAAAATGGCATGCATTTTCATGTAAATTTATGTTTATATGAAAATAAATTATTATCATTATTATTATTTAACAGTTTGTCTTCAAAAACTATGTGAAACCCAGGCTCAATTAATCAAACGTGTTGACTTCGCGTTGGCAACTTTCAGTGGTTGCACAGCTGATGATAGCGAAAGCGATGTCAGGCTACCGGTGAAAACCTTTGCTATGCTGGAAGTTTTTGAGCGATAGCTTAAAAACAGAAAGTATTTCGAGGAAATAGTAAGAAATTCCATCCAAGTTTGTTTAATTGATTCGTTTCAGATGTGCCAATTCTCATTCAAGGTGCATAATGACCCAAGCAGCTCAGCGCGCCGGTTGCTCAGCACAGTCCTAAATAAAAACCTCGCAAGGTTGATGAGTTATAAGGGGACTGCTGATAAGATTGGTATCCGTGACTTCACGTTTTTCCAGCTAATAATTGGTATGTGGATTTTTGAAATAGTAAAATTGTATACCTAAAAAATTCAGATGTCATCACTCGTAAGCAATTACAACTCGGGTCCACCGAGGAGGAAACAATGGAAGCGATTGTGAAAGCCACTAAAAATTGGTGCCATGACCAGCGTGTTCGGAAGAAAACGGATTTATCACCAGAAGAGGTAGTTTTTAATAAAAGTGTTACCAGTTTTTCTGCACTTAATGGGAATTGACGCGTATTTAAATGATTTTCTCTTTCCTTCATTACAGATGTCTGCTGAAGTCATTCAACCTGGGACCAGCAAATCGCCGTCTTCAGAATAATTTATGAAGTCATTTTAAATTTTTTCAAAATATTACTTTTTTATAAATCCGATATCTTACTGTATAAAATATAAAATTGCTTCACTCTATTGGCCTTCGTTTATATCAGTAGCATAACCCTTGAATGTAGTGAGAGAATCGTAAAGCAGCAGTCGCTAAGTTCGTAGCTTTGGTGAGTTCGATTGCATTAGTTACTATAAAGGATGACAGTGTTTAAGCAATTTCTTAGGCCATTAGTAGGACGCAAAGTAATTCTAATGATACGTGCGCTTGCCTGGGAAAAATGAGGGCTTCTTTTCGTTACGGAAATAGCAGTAGTGGATGAAAAGGTCGTTTAAAAAGTGGGCAATTTGTTCGTTGAAAAGGTGGGAAAACGGGGAGAAAGTGGTTAAATTGTTCGTTGAAAACGTGGGAAAACGGGGTAAAAGTGGGTACATTTGTTATTCCCGCACATAAGATAAGTGGGTAAAAACGTGGGTCAAGTGAGAAAACTGGGAAAAAGTGGCACAAAACATTTTTCACTGACATGGGAAAACGGGGAAAAAGTGGGATTTGTGGCCAAAATGGGTAAAATCGGTTGCATTTACACCATCTTTTGCCCACGTGTTTGCCGATCAAAATTACCCTTTTATCCCACGTTTTGCACACTTTGCCCATGTGAATTAACCGACTGGGACGCCTCATACATATAGCACAACGACGAACAAATCCATCAGTTGATCTGCTATAGCTTTTTAAAGTAATCATACCAACACACGAACTCGTTCACTCCGTCCGGGGAAACCCTAAATCCAGGCAATACCGGAAAACACTGTCCTCCTCGAATTGCAACGGAAACCTTGTAAGGTCACGCAATGAAATGAATCGAGCGCTTTACAACATTGAACTACGTTCGTGAATCTCATTGTATAATTCGACATCGTTCGTGAATCTCATTGGATAATTCACTGATTGGTAATTAGTGGAGTCGAAAGTTTAACTCCCCCCCTAAGCTAAAAATCACAATGTCTATCCGCTATTTTTATTGCCATTTCAAAGCTCGCCACAGTAACCTACAACACGTATTAGCCACAACGTTTAAGCAAAAGAAAATCTACCAATCACAGTGTGAGTAAGTGACCTACAAGTGCTCAGGCTCATTGTGCGCCAATTCTGTCATTATCCTCTATCGCAACGCTGCCTCACACTATTACGGAGTTCCTCATGGCGCGACTGCTGCTGTTTGCATTACGGCTGTAGTCTTATCTCAAACTCCGAAGTGTAAGTTAACATTCACCTTCAGCTGCCTGAAGAATATTTTGCGTTTCCTCACAAGTTTTGCATGCAGATGTCCGAAATTGCCCCGAAACGTTTTATTTTCGGATATATCGTCGGAATTGAATGTTAATAAGAAAAGAAATTTCGCTAATACAGGTAGATATGCAAACGATTTTTCGGATATTCCAGTGGTTATTTAGAAGTGGTCAGAGTGTCTGAAATACAACGGAGCCCTTCAAAATCATATATTGGTTATAGAAACTTTGAACCAAATATGACTTTTTGACGATAAACAGAAAGTGGGACTTAAGAATAAGGTACTTTAGGTTTATTTATGGTACTAGTTAAAGGTTACGAATTTCTGACTGGTTTTCAAAAGCAGCATTCCCTTGTTTGATTTCATCCAAGACATTTGCGAGCTTTTATGAAGTCACTAATTGACATGTTGGACTGAGTGTTCATTTTGCACGATCTTGTTCTTTAAAGTGGTATTTTTTATTGTTAACGAGAAAGAAATTATTATTTTGGATATGTAGGTGAAGTTTCAACTGTATGGCCTAGCTTCCTCCCGCTGTCTGCAGATAAATAGACACTGCAGTGTTTGGTCAAAAATGTGATGGAAATTTGTCATAATTTATTTGCATCTATTGTGTGCTCACTTTATAACTAGGTGGGTGTGTATGGGGCTTCCAAGTGTTGTTTTCACTTTGGTGCTTAACCATGTAGAGTGGTGACGTTTGCAGGGTTTGTAGACTCCTTATTGTACATTTGAGGTAGTCAGCTCCATAGGAATATTTGAACTTACATATACATATATTCGATGATTGCGTGTAGGATATTCTATTTCGTCTACCTCTCCGGATTCGCAACAGAAAACAGTCCTGCTTCACATATTTTCCAAACAGTTACCTTGTAAAGTATAATTATATTTCAATGGTTTACACACAAGTTTTCTTATTTGATCCATTTTACTGACATTAAGTCACCTTGCATTTCTGTGACTATCAACTGGCTTCATTGAATAAAATCACACATCGTTTCTGTGGGTGTTGTGATTAGTGATTCTGGTCTCATGTGTTTCCTGATAAGCTGGTCAGTCAGGACAGAAATATTTCTGTGGCATTTCTTATATAAGCCTCTTATAATTGGCCTACTTCTAATACTTTTAATTTTGATTATTGGAATTTCAGTGCCCTAGAATTAAATACACATGGCTGTTGATAAGACTGATTCATATGAATGGACCTGTGAATCGGAAATTCAACTTTTCCGAGGATTAATCAAGCACAAACCCGTTGGTGTATTCCGTCACTTCCAGATGATGTGCTTGTGCAATTTTCTGAATTCAGTTCTTCGTACACCAGTCACTCCTGATATTATTTCGAGAAGGCTGGATACACTATACAATATGGAAGAACTGGTAATTTCTATCTCTTAAAATATTGAAACGTTTCTGTGAAGCATGAATCTGAAGTTAACCCTTTTCAAGGTAAAATGAGGGAATTCAGCCTATCCGAAGAGTTTGATTCCTTGAAAGAATTGGAGTTTCCTCGTGTTGCTCCGCGAAGCGATACAGCTACACCCAAATCTTCAGTTGTAGGTAAGCTAGCAGCCCAATTTTACAACTAACATTCCAGTTATAACTTTTGTATTTATGTGACAAAACGTCAACGATTCTTCAAGGGATATAAGTATGTACATATATATGACGTAGAAAGATGTGAATTTTCAAGAATGTGAGTTATCATTCTCTTGGGTGAATTTCGTGGACTAGGAGACAGTTTTGATTGGAATATTTGTAAGACTTCGCAGAAATCACAACAGCATTTTGATCTTTCTATGAAATCAGTTAAGGGACTGATCATGAATACTAGGGAGAGACACTTCTTATGAATACTGTGATGGTTTTGCATTTCCCTGGAAAGTAGTCACTGTCGCCTTTCCTATGTAATTGATGCTATATCGGAGAAACGAGGTCGTGAGGTGCATTCCTGGTGTGTGTGTGTGTGTTTCAGTGGTGGTTATCTAAGCCTAAGTGGGTGTAAACTGGAACTAAAAGCATGACCCACTAATTTGTGTAGTTGGATGTTTTGAGGGGAATCACAATTTGATGGATCTTTAGGTCATAGCAGCATGAAATGTTGTCTCATTGAAGCCACAAACTTACGATGCATATTTAGGCGAAAACGTCGCCTACACCAATAGTGTGCAGCAGAAGACTTCAGTCTGACAACTTAGCTTTACCTCACAATCGGTTGTCTATTTTTACTAGATATACCCATGAGACGAAAACCCGTTGTAATTTGAGGCATTTTCTATACTCTGTTGATGTATGCAAATTATTTTCGTATGAAGTCATACCTCATCTATGATTTTCCCATTTAGATACTTCTAATCGAAAACGAACAAGAAAGTCGGTACGCTGGGCTGACGTTCTTACAACTTCAGATAATATGGTTCAAACACCGACCACTTCAACGGTCACTACCGATGCAGGTGTTGGCAGTTCTTCACGCAAAAGGCGGCGCTGACATTTTGTGTATGCTGGTCACGAATACAAACATCTTTGTTGTATCTCATGGATTCAGCATTTTTCAATATATTTGTGTCATACTCAAGTGTTGATTTTTGATTGTTATGCTGCTAAATGCGCAATTTTATGCGGCACTTGTTGTGATTCGTTGGCTAGGTGGCGGAATAATTAATACAACCACGGGATGAAAACGAAACGAAGTCGATTTTCCTGCCTTACCTGAAAGACAACTGTATAATTCAATAGCTATACGGCCTGGTTCAGACAATTAATTCAATTATATATATATCATATATTTAAATGTTGAAACATTATAAACTTGTAGACAATCTGAGATTTGACATTATACCATACTTGATCGTGCCTGTAAAAATGGCATGCATTTTCATGTACATTTATGTTTATATGAAAATATAAATTATTATTTTTATTACAGTAACAAGCCAGGTTTCAGTCACCGTTATTTGTGTTGGCCGTTCTATGTATGCCAGGCAGCGAAGCGTTGTTATTTCATTAAGGAGAGATCTTGTATTCAGGAGCATAACTGTTAGTAAACCAGAGTTGTAGGGTAGGTGAACGTGGTTACTTGTTGCTATCCCTACGTTATGTTTGGAGGGGCTCTGAGTTGAGACAGAGTCAGTGTGTGTACTATTTCCTGGACAAATTGTGCAGCGAGTGGGGCTATTGTTTTCTGCAGCCGAAAATAATCCGGTTGCATATTTTGACTTTTAGGATCCATGGGTCGGCATCTGCGTTCATCTACTGGTGATATATGGTATGCCTTGTAATTTGCGTTGTAGTTTGCTGGACCTAGGTACACTGTGTTAAGGTTACCTTGGTAGTTGTACCTCATGGAGCTTTCATAGCCGTATGCATATTGCCTCACATCACGTGTGTGAGTGAATTTAATGAGGGGATCAAGTGTCGACCTATTCTCATTAAGTTGATGAGGTTTAACATATACAGTACGAGAGTTTGGACGAGAATTTTCGTTAATATGGTGCCTATATGAGTCCCGTTTAGTGCCCCATGCATCCCGAGGATCCATTCTACGTTGCATTCCCAAGTTATGTGCGTTGTTTGGCATGTTACTTCTAGTCCGGGAAGGGGTATTCCTTCTCATATGCTGTGTGACGTCTTTGGGAATGTGCTTCGTTACCCATGCTTTGTCATTTTTTAGACTGACACGCTGCTTATTTGACTTATTACGAGGGAGATATGTCGAAGTCTGGGGTGGGACTCTGGGCTTTGTGGTCTTTTGTGCGGTTTCTACTGAGGGACTCTCTGGCTTGGATCCAGATTGAGAGTGGTCTGCCAGTGGTTTCTGGTCAGCCATAGTTTGTGCGTCTATGTCAACCTCATGTAGGTCAGCAGGTTTTCGAGATGTGCTCTCGTGCATTCTAAGACTGCACCCAGTGGCACCGCTCTTACTGAGTTTTGGGTCGCTCTTACTTGCCGTTTTTTCTCCTAACACTATACATGTGACTTGCTGTGCCTCAGTGTCCGTCGACACTTTAGCACTGATACCAGATGTATTTCTCAGTGTTGTCAACTTTGTGTCGAAGGAGTTCTTGGTTGCTTGCCTTTGGTTTGGTGTTTTATCCGAGACTACTTTAATAGTCTTGAATTTAGTGGCAGCAGCCAGAAGATCTTCGGCCATCTTAAATCGTTCAGCTATTATGTAGCTGTCGAACCTGAAGAGTATAGGACAAGGATGCTTCAGGTCTTTTTTGCTTAGGCGAATGCACTGACAAGGTGCATTTAAGAGATTTGCAGCCTTCAGCAATGAATGCTGGACTGACTTTATGGGCTCGCTATCCGGTACATTATACACTATTGCGTTTTGTTTTGAATCCAGCCTTTTGACTACTTCGCTGGATAGAAAGTCGATGGCGTTTTCTGACTCCTTCGAACTTTTTGAGTCAGTATGAATCATTCTAGAGGTAATATTAAAAAGCTTTAGGATTGTAGGATCCTGCAGTTCCTTTTTCATATGTGAGATAGTTTCGGGTATACATTCTAGTGATCTTAATTTCGTTTCCAATTCATCTATCTGTAGTTGCATCTCTTTAATTACGCACGTTAGGTATGAGAGCTCTACTTTTTCAGACAGAACATCTTCCACCTGTATTGCAGGGGTCAGAGTTATGTTCGAGGCTTTTATGTTGGGTGAACTACTAATAACATGGGGTGGTAATGTGTTATTAGACTAGCTGGTGCTATTTTCTAAATTAGTTGTGTTCGCACGATCACGCTTTTTAGAATTTTGAACCACCGTTATTAAAGATCAATTATAAGTAGCCAGTAAATGAATATAAACGAAAACACGTGCAAAAGCGTCAGCTGATTCGAACGTACCGGACTTATTCCGGCGAGCTCAGAATTCAATGAGGAGCGAAAGGTACTCAAACGAAAACTTGTGAAAAGTCTTCGCAACGACCGTGAACAGTGGTTGGCGACAAAAGCGAAAGAGATGGAAAAGGCATCGGTGATTGGCAACACCAGACAACTATATAGGCTTATCAGAGAAACAGGTAGCAAAAGGCAAATGATAAGAGAAACAATCCCGGAGAAAAATGGCACCATAATTAGCTCTCAGGATAGACGCCTTGAACGCTGGAAAGAACACTTTGAGGACAAATTTAACTTCCCTACAGCCACACTGAACCTCCCCGCCATCAAGCACATACCCGAATGGGATATAGACACTGGTCCGCCGTCTGTAGAAGAGGTTACAAAAGCTATCTGTAATTTGAAACGAGGCAAAGCGGCAGGACCCGACGGAATTATTCCGGCGGTGTTTAAAAATGGGGGTGACATACTAGTTTGTAGATTAACTAAGGTGCTAGGCAAAGTCTGCGAATCAGAGACGGTTCCATCAGACTGGGGTAAGTCACTTATTATACCGATATTGAAGAAGGGAAACAAGTCATCGTGTGACAATCATAGGGGGGCCAGCCTAACGAACATAGTTTCTAAAATCCTAGGCTCAGTAATCATACATAGACTAAGCAGAACTCGGGAGGAACGAACGAGGGAAAATCAAACAGGCTTTAGACCAGGTAGAGGGTGCATAGATCATATCTTTACTCTTCGACAGATTCTAGAACATAGACACACTTTTCGGCGTCCAACAATTGTCATATTTCTTGACTTGAAGGCGGCCTTCGACTCCGTGGATCGAAAGGTACTATGGCAATGTCTGACTGTGAAGGGAGTGCCAAGAAAGTACATTGCACTAATCAAGGCACTCTATTCAAACTCATGTAGTCGTGTAAGGGCTTGTGCGGAATTGTCATCTGAATTGATAGCAACCAGTGGTGTCCGACAGGGATGTCCACTTTCCTCATTTCTGTTTAACTTCATCATAGATATGCTAATGGAAGTATCCCTAACTGAACGTACGACTTAGGAATCGACTTGTTACCAGGAAATAGTTTTATGGACTTGGAATATGCAGATGACATAGTCCTGTTAGGGAGGATGCTGACAAAATGCAGAGTCTTCTGAACACCTTGAGCAGCAATCTTCGTATGTTCGGCATGCGATTCGCCCCTGTAAAATTCAAGATGCTGCTGCAGGACTGGACTACGTCAACTCCTAATCTAATGATAGGGAGTGAAGTGATAGAACATGTTGATCACTTCACCTATTTGGGAAGTTGTATCAGCACCAACGGACTAATTGGCGACGAAATCTCAGCACGGATCCGAAAAGCTCGAGCTGCTTTCGCTGACTTACACCATCTCTGGCGCAGGCGTGACATCCGGCTGGCAATCAAACAAGGGACGTGTGTACCGCTCACCAGTTCGCTCCGTCCTTCTCTAAGGCTCTGAAACATGGACAATAGGACTTGAAGACATGAAAAGGTTGACTGTTTTTGATCACAGATGTCTGCGATCTCTTTCTCACGTTAGGTGGTTTAATAAGGTAAGTAATGTTGACGTTAGGCGTAGAGTGTTGGGCAAAGAGGGAAAGTCAATCGACGAGGCTATAAAGTTATATAGATTCAGATGACCAGGTCACGTGCTGTGCATACCTAACCATCGCCTTCCCTGACGGGCATTACTGGCTGATATAGGTGCAGGTTGGAAAAGACTAATTGGTGGCTAAATAAAACATGGCATCAATCCATAAAATCCTTGACAGTTAGACTGAGTCAGGTAGAGTGATGCAGACTTCCAGTTTGGCGCCCTCGGGACTCTAGGAATCAATGCCTGAAGACAAAAGGTGACATGGCTCAAATCGTTGTCACTGGCGCAGATGTATTCAGTCTCTGTAATCTTTCATCTTTCTTTCTACGATTACCCATTCCGTTTCGCCCTTATACCTGTCAAACTCTATTGATTCTCGTCACTCATCTTTTTGTCTACCTTTGTGGGCTGGACTTATTTATCACGTACTGTTGAATTCCGCTTGGAAAATTTTTGCCAATAATTTTTAATAAAATTGTGTCATATGTTATCTAGATTGAGGGAAATTGCCATTTTTTTCCTAGTTACGTTGGTGTCACATTTTTAGCATATTGGTTGCAATGATTAGTGTTTCAGGCGGAATGTATCAAAATACCGGTGTATTAAGGAAGATAGGATAGTTAGAGGGTATTGCTATCTACACAAATCGTTTACTCCATTTGGAAGCTGCACCTTTCGGCATAGTATCATTCAGTGAAGACTTTATGTCTCAGGATATCAATACAGCCTATTTTCGTGTGAAGAACAGTGCTTTTTAACAAAATAATTCTCTCGGTACTTGGAAATCACCTGCAGATGCTATCAGAATCGTTTGTGGGAACCTAAGTTGTCATTTAGATGTGCTTTTCACTTTATCTATGGTTGGGCAGGAAGTATGGTTAGTTGAAAGGTTATCTCTAAGTGGATTTCATATATATTGGCACTGGTTGGTGCAGCGTACTATGGGTTATATGAATTAAATGTACAAAACTATCTCAACTTTAATAATATTGTGCCATTGTCTACTTAACTGGCTGATAGGATAACAAACGAAGGTAGTTAACCACCCTCATAATCGTGACAATTGTCACGATTATTGCAAGTACAATGCAGTGGAGAAGGCAATTACTCGTTTAAATTTCCGTGCTGTTCCAATTAATGCACCAAATCATTACACGGTATGATTACACGCATGAGTCGCGGTGATTATGAGAACTGAATCTATTCAGCTTTATTATGATTAATATGAATTTATTCTCTTTTACAGTTTCCACTGACTGTATACTTGATGCTGCAATATTTTTGATCACCAATAATAGAGATGAATTTCTCCTGAGATCTCCATTTAGACAAAGCAGTACAGATGCGCTGTGACAATTGAATTTTCTGGTTTGCATTACATGACATTATTATCCTCATCAACACAACAGATTGTACTCACACCCAAGTAATCTACTGGAAAATGTTTTGAATTTAAAACTACTGCTATTATCTCTATTTTTCAAAAAGCTATGGGAAAGTTACTCCTACTTAATCTTCAACCTTCACTTAAAGTCTTTAACGATCCCAAACAAATCTCCTATAAACACAGTAGAAGTACTTTAGATGCAGCTGCAGTCTTGCATCACAATGGGGCTAAATTCGCTGCGCCTTCCTAGTTTACGCATCTGCTTTCGACTCAGTACCTAAAGATATTCTGTTAGATAAGCTTGCTGAAACTCAAAATGAGTGTTGGATTGTTAGACGGCTTCATTCTTGTTTATCAGGGAGAAAGCAGCACACTGTAGGTTAGGGGGAAGTTGTCCATTACCAATTGTATTTTTGTTTGACGAACTTAATGTACAAATGCATATGAAAAGAACTTTTTCAAGTACGCGGGATCTCACTTTTTCAATGTCTGTTAACTGCCAGCTACATTGTACTAAGATGAACAGCTCCCTATTAAGAGTCAGAAAATTCTCTTAAACTGAATCCTTCGAAATGTCAGACTGTTATTTTCAGTTTCCGATGTGAACAAAAGTTAGGTGAAGGTGTTAATTCCTATGACCGTTGCAAAATTGATAATAGTGATATGGAAATCAAGTCTGACTTTAAGTATCTCGGACTAATTCATCACAGCGTATTGGCCCTAAATATACGCCACATACAGGCATAATGTTTATGAGCTAGGTACGCAAATCAAGGTAAACGCTTGTACGCCACATTCATTATTTACAAAAGTAACTCGTACGTAAGAACTATGGTTTGATCAGTTATACAACGTTTAATACATTCAGACACCATTAACCTACGCTGCTTAATTCTGTGACGCATTACCTAAAACTACCTTCATCTAGTTTACGCTGAAGGTAATCTCCTATAGCTACCACCTTAGTGGGCAATTTAACGTTATCTTTGAATAACGAAGAGCGGAAATTCTTGAAACTTTCTTGGTAAAAGGATCGTCCCTTACTCGAAAAAATTGAATGTACCCCAGTGTCAGCCACGTCTCGTAAACCGTTAATGTCCAGCTCTTGCTACGCTGGGACTCACGCTGTTCCCTGAAGTTTCTAAGAAACGCTTGGTAATAACGGACGCAAAAACCAAAACACCGATTGGCCACTCGAGAATTCTTTATTGTAACACCAACATATAAAAAATGTTAGCACTAAGGTCTGTGAACAAATATTACAATAATAAATCACAATATTACTTCTGACGGGTTGCTGCTGACTTCTTTCTGAACAGCGACCGATGAGACGATGACTGTTGTATTGATGCCTCCGCGAAAATTGGGGAAGTTGGTTTTGAGCAAACAACCATGAATTGATCGTTCAATCTTCAACTACATTGACACGTAATCTCCCCAGAAACGTTCAGAGGTATTCATTCTATCACCTCAAACGACTCAGTATTTGCAGTCAGTTAAATAGGCAAAACAAATTTCCCAATGGCAACGTGCTTACGATTTCTAGGTATCATAATGTACCATGAGGAAAACGCTATATCTATGCGGTTATAACAGTGAGATGCACGATTCTCAGTCACAGAATATCCTGCTTCACCACCTAATCGTATAATCGTATCAATGGATATTTCGCCAGAGAAAAGAAGACTACTGGTTCAAGGAAAATTTATTTAGTTTTTTTAAAGACCATGGACATCAGTGTTTATAGCCACGGAAAAATTACAACTTCGAAAAATTCACCGATCGTAGATTACAACCCGAAATGTCATTCTTCCTAATTAATGTCTTACCCTTAACTGGGATAGTTCGTACACTCACCAAATCGTCGTATTTTATCCGCTTTGAAAACCGTTTTGCAACCCATCGATTGGATGTTAACACTGGCTCTATTACGCGCAGTCCTAGTTCATGTATTTGGATCTAGTACATCAAGCAATAATAAGCATAAGTAACACTTACCCTTAAGGATTCCAGTTTCTTTTAGTTCCCCAAAATACATACAAGCACAACAGATTCATAATTTTCATGCGGCTCAACCTTATTTGACTTAGATTCTCTCACATTTTTTTAAATGGTAGCAGACACACTGATGGTAATTTCACATTCTCAAAGAGCTTCAAAGCTTTTTCAACTTCAACCCAGGTTCTAAATTCTCCAGGTTTAATTTGTTCTTCGAAAACCTTGCTAACATCAACTCTGATGGTGTTCTCTTTAACAGATTCTCTCGCAGATTGTTGCATGCTGCAAACATGAACGAGAAAGACACTTTTTTCATGATTTCTACATCTTAAGTAATTAACTGAGCCAACAAGAATAACGGCAACCACCAAACGGACTGGAAACAACTGATTCTGCCAGGGAAACATCTTCATGTGCATGATTTCCAAAACTTCTACACAGTACCAATTCATTACCAGCTGAAAACCAACTAAACAGTGAAAGCCGCATAAATGCAAGGTATGAAACAATTACATCGAAATGTACTTTGCGTACGGAAATGCAATCCAACATGGCCGACTAACATGGACGAAAGTGACTTTTAAACGTCTCACTCCACCGATGACCTTGATAAGTTACGGGTAATTTCAGTCCCTTTATGTGCGTGTGTGTGGAACGTGCGAAGTCGAACTGCTGCACTTCGGTGCCAAGTTCTAAGTTGAATCCAAACGGACAGGTCAGCCAAGAGACAGATATTTCTGTGGCATTTCTTATATAAGCCTCTTATAATTGGCCTACTTCTAATACTTTTAATTTTGATTATTGGAATTTCAGTGCCCTAGAATTAAATACACATGGCCGTTGATAAGACTGATTCATATGAATGGACCTGTGAATCGGAAATTCAACTTTTCCGAGGATTAATCAAGCACAAACCCGTTGGTGTATTCCGTCACTTCCAGATGATGTGCTTGTGCAATTTTCTGAATTCAGTTCTTCGTGAACCAGTCACTCCTGATATTATTTCGAGAAGCTGGATACACTATACAATATGGAAGAACTGGTAATTTCTATCTCTTAAAATATTGAAACGTTTCTGTGAAGCATGAATCTGAAGTTAACCCTTTTCAAGGTAAAATGAGGGAATTCAGCCTATCCGAAGAGTTTGATTCCTTGAAAGAATTGGAGTTTCCTCGTGTTGCTCCGCGAAGCGATACAGCTACACCCAAATCTTCAGTTGTAGGTAAGCTAGCAGCCCAATTTTACAACTAACATTCCAGTTATAACTTTTGTATTTATGTGACAAAACGTCAACGATTCTTCAAGGGATATAAGTATGTACATATATATGACGTAGAAAGATGTGAATTTTCAAGAATGTGAGTTATCATTCTCTTGGGTGAATTTCGTGGACTAGGAGGCAGTTTTGATTGGAATATTTGTAAGACTTCGCAGAAATCACAACAGCATTTTGATCTTTCTATGAAATCAGTTAAGGGACTGATCATGAATACTAGGGAGAGACACTTCTTATGAATACTGTGATGGTTTTGCATTTCCCTGGAAAGTAGTCACTGTCGCCTTTCCTATGTAATTGATGCTATATCGGAGAAACGAGGTCGTGAGGTGCATTCCTGGTGTGTGTGTGTGTGTTTCAGTGGTGGTTATCTAAGCCTAAGTGGGTGTAAACTGGAACTAAAAGCATGACCCACTAATTTGTGTAGTTGGATGTTTTGAGGGGAATCACAATTTGATGGATCTTTAGGTCATAGCAGCATGAAATGTTGTCTCATTGAAGCCACAAACTTACGATGCATATTTAGGCGAAAACGTCGCCTACACCAATAGTGTGCAGCAGAAGACTTCAGTCTGACAACTTAGCTTTACCTCACAATCGGTTGTCTATTTTTACTAGATATACCCATGAGACGAAAACCCGTTGTAATTTGAGGCATTTTCTATACTCTGTTGATGTATGCAAATTATTTTCGTATGAAGTCATACCTCATCTATGATTTTCCCATTTAGATACTTCTAATCGAAAACGAACAAGAAAGTCGGTACGCTGGGCTGACGTTCTTACAACTTCAGATAATATGGTTCAAACACCGACCACTTCAACGGTCACTACCGATGCAGGTGTTGGCAGTTCTTCACGCAAAAGGCGGCGCTGACATTTTGTGTATGCTGGTCGCGAATTCAAACATCTTTGTTGTATCTCATGGATTCAGCATTTTTCATTATATTTGTGTCATACTCAAGTGTTGATTTTTGATTGTTATGCTGCTAAATGCGCAATTTTATGCAGCACTTGTTGTGATTCGTTGGCTAGGAGGCGGAATAATTAAGTATGTTGAATATTTCACTTAATTTGGGGACTTGCATCAGCTCACCTGAAGTGATCACCTAGGAAATCTCAGGATAGATTCAGGATGCATATTTGGTATTTACCAAGTCTCTAGATGTTTGTAGCACCGATCTGTTTAATTGCCCTTTCCACAGTCATTCCAAGGTGTTTTGCAAATTAAATTATTTTGTGTAGTTAGGTCAACTTACAGAGTCCAAGCCACGTAGGAAGGTGTAGACTTCCTGGTTGGGGTCCTCGGGACGACGGTAAAAACCAATGTTTGGAAACAACTAGTGATATGATGGCTCAAAATCGTCCTCAGTGGCGCAGATGCATCCACTCTTTGTGTCTTGTGATTTCCAATGAAACTATATTGTTCTTCGTTATTACTACTCCTTTGTTTCATACCTCTGTTTACTGTCTCTAATATGCATTTCTTCAAGTTTCTTCTCTTAGTTTGTGTGCTACATGGAGTGTGGCGACTTGAACTGCCGCACATATGTGCAAAGTTCTGTGTCGAAAACAGACACATCGTGTGTTGGATTACAAAGAAGCAGTAAGGGCTTAATGGTATTAATTTTCTTAATAAAAACCTTCACATAATTTCTAGGGGAAATAGGGTCTAACTTATTTCGATTAGCAGTTGCGTATATCTACGATAGCAATTTGGGTACAATGACTTCGCGGACATATATATGTGTGTTCATAACTGACTCGTAGACAGTGAGGTGGAAGATGAAATACTGAACGAGGTACCTGGTTCACTCTGGATCGTCTTGCATGGAGATGAGTACAAACTCCTCATAGGCTGTGTTTATCGAGCACCACGCTCAACCAAAGAAACTGATGCATTATTAGCTAAGTTTTTTGCACACGCCTCCTCGTTTAGTACTAATTACAAAATAATTGCAGGAGACTTCAATCTTCCAGATATCAATTGGTTGCGTAGTTCTGGCCCCCAACACTTCCATGAATTACTTGCCACCATCGATTTCTATGAATGGCAACAACACGTCCAGACATCTACACGTGGTGACAACATGTTGGACCTTGTGTTTTGTCATGACACAATCCCAGTCTCCACCTATGTTGGTAACAGATTTTCCAGTAGTGACCGTAGAATGGCACTCTGCTCTCTGCCTTTCTCACCACTAAATACAGGAAACAAACAAGATTCAGGGAGCATGATATGCCGTAGTTATAAACCTACAGACACACTGGGGGCCAGTCGAAGAACTGATTCGACTCTGTCAATGGGATGACTATTTTACTACTGACTGCCTGGAGGTTTTAGTGTCCCTATTTTACAGGAGTGTTTCCCTTTGTCTGGTCACTGTTGCTTCTGAGAAGGTAGTGAAATTGAGTAGGCACCAAGCTGAATACATTCCAAGGGCACACCGAAATAAGCTAAGGAAGTTGATTAAACAGAACTATTCCACTGAGGATATATCACTACTGTACCCAATCCACGAGTCGCTTGAATCTGTCAAGCATCTACGCTCTCAAAAGGACCTCGACGAAGAGTTAAGTGCACTCAAAAGTACCTCCAAAGTTTATAACCTCACAATACTTCTTAAAAAACGAATGCGGTCACTACTTGTCGTAAAGTACGTGAGCTAGTCGTTGTTCTCTACTTCGATAAATCTAGGGCATTTGACATGGTGTTTCATAGTATTCTCTCTGAGAAGCTGTACTCATGTGGGATTCGCAATCCATTACCTAACTGGTTAGGGTCATTTCCAAACAACAGGGTGCAAATAACCAAAGTCGAATCCGTATTGTCTCATCCTAGGCAGATCACAAGTGGGGTTGTGCAGGGTAGTGTCCTAGGACCACTTCTATTTGCAGTCTACATTAACAGGATTTGTGACTGCTTCGCCTCAGCCAAACTATTCGTATATGCTGACGACCTCGAAGCCGTTTACTCTTGCTACAGTCATGAATTAAACGATGTGGTAAGTAAGTAATGAAACATCTTGAACTAAGTAGTCTCGCAACGTGGTGTGCTGAATTTTGTCTAGAGTTTAACATTGACAAATGCGGCTAGGGCTGGATTTGTATCGGAAACAGTAACCTTGACCTAACTCTTCAGGTAAATGGGCGAAAACTAGCCAAGCTCAACTCAATCGTAGATCTCGGTATCAGATACCCCAGTCATTTAACATTCTCTGAGCAAACTGATTATGCCAGACGTAAAACACGAAGGCTTCTAGGACGCATAACTCGCAATCGCTTTCGTCGTCAAACTAGGGTCTTATCATACAAAGTATGTGTCCGACGTATTTTAGAATACTGCCCGTTTACTCTTAGCGGACTGCGACAGAATGACTAGCTTGAGTTAGACGGAGTGCAACGGGATTTTCCTCAACAACTCTTGGTTTACATTGTAGTCTCGAGTACTCTGAGCGTAGCGACAGACTGAGAATAGAACCACTCTGGAAAAGACATCTTAAGCTAAACCCTGCGTTCTACTGTAACGTCAGAGGACAAGGCCCATGCACACATCGTTTATTGGGAAAATCAAGAGGTATTTACAGAATTTCGTGTGCATTATTTTTAGCGTTATCATTAGAGGAGGATCGACCTCTCCTGATTGGTAGTTTAATTTCTGAATTTTATCGTGTTCTCAAATATCAAGCCATATATCTGTGAATCATATTTCCACACATTAACTCCGGTGTGATTGGCTGGTGATTTTCTCAAGGTTAAGCTTTTTTATTGTTTGCCTCGTGACCCTGACTCGGGATGTGAACACTGGCGTAAATTGTTGTCTACAATTTTAGCTTGCAGACAGGTCTTACCACACTACTCCGATTTAACTAATCTTCTCTTGCACTCCTCCAGGCCAATAACTAAGTCTACCGCTGTCATCAGTTTCAATCTTAGAAATCATGACAACCTAGTTGCTATAGAGCATGCAGTACAACTTCTTCTTAAATAAGTTTTCGGTCATTTGGAATAGACTACCAGCTAATGTGCGTGATGCAAACACACTCTCAGTATTGATCTCCTCGATCACCAGACTGCTCAAAGATCACAATGCTCTCCTGCGTCTGGTTCCTACACCCTCTTTTTCACCCTGTATAGGTATTATAAGTTCATTCGACGTATAAGTCACAACAAACTACAATTATAAATGTTAATATTATTGGAACTAGATGATAAACATTTCTACACAGGCCATTAATATTAGTTCACACATAATATAAAAGTTAGCATGACAGGACTAGTTAGTTAGTGTACCAACGTTATCATGGTTTCTACACAGAATATATATATATAAGCATGTACATAAATGTATAAGTCACTCCTCGAGTACTCCACTTGCTTTCTTCTGTTCTGCTGTCGCTTGCCTTCTTTGTCCGCTTTCACCATTTTATCTTCTATGTGGCTTTTTGAACAAGAGTGAAGAATGTAGACATTTGACCACTTAAAATGACAAATGATCTGCAAACATTACTGGTCCCATGTCCTACAACTGCCTTGTGAATTATCCATTACCTTCCTCCGCGACGCATCCCGGATGACAGATGTGCAATATTACCTAAAAACGAATGAAAAATCCAAATAACTACCTGTCCCGCGCCAATAAATCTGGTTATTTAAGAAATAATCAGCACACACTGATGGTTGCATTTGAAATCTGACTGACTCGCGTGATGATAATTTCCAGCTCCTACACGCTCCAATTGTCATCATGCATAGATTGATTCTCCATTATTGTGGTTCCTGGCCGCATATGGACTGAAAATTGCCTATTGCTGCCACAACACTACTTTGTATGCTTAACTGGACACTTACTGCTGTGTTTCCCATGGCGTTCATCTTTTCCCGAAATAACTTCTAATAACGTGGCGGAATAGCACTCACTCAAATATACCCGGTTCACTGGTTGACCATAACTACCAGCATGAAACGGAAAGAAGTTTGGCCTGTCGCTCAACTTTGATGGCAAAAGGTTTACAATTAGACATTTATAAGAACCTGTTCTGATCGCTTGTTCCATTGTGGAACAATTTCAACTTTTGGAAAAGTATTAATTTATCATACTTCACGATTGTAATTTATAACGTAACTGATCGTGCCTGTAAAAATGACATACATTTTGATTTTGTCAATATATGTGTACAACTTGGGCACTGTGGTATTAAGTAATTCCATATTAGTTTGATTATTAAATGTATCACACAGTGAAACAGTATTGTATACTGGATGACGTTTCGAACACAATTTATTGTTCATAATCATATCAATTTTTGTCACACGACTTCGAGATTTGATTTTTATAGTTTTCTCTGTCTTCTCCTATTTGTTGTATGGGCAGTAGAATTTTCCATATATCTGGGACAGGTGTTGAATCATTCCTATTACATGTATTTGCAGTTGATTCGATAAACAAAGCTTCTGTTATCAATCTCTCCCTATACCCTGTGACATTAGATTTTAAAACTGTCATCCTATCCCATCCTATTGTATGGTTGTGTGTAACTGCATGTAGTGCTATAGCTGAACTACTCTCTAGATTTCTTATCTTATTCGGGTCAACCAATCTAGATTTAGCTAGGTTTTTATGTTCGGCTAGTCTGACTGCCCCTGTTCTACTAGTTTGACCTATGTATTTGACCTCACAATCATTGCAGGGTATTAGATAAACTAAATTGTTTTGTTTTAATGGCTCTACAGGATCCTTTAACCGACAAAGCTTGTTTCTAATTGAGTTTGTGGGTTTGAATGCCACTTTTATTCCTGCCTTGTTAAGAATTCTGCGTAAGGCTTCCGAGGTTCCTTCTTTGTATGGAATTATTGTTGATGATTTACATTCCTTAT